GACTGGTTTATTTCACTTAACATAAAGGCCTTTAGGATCGTGTATATTGTTGCATACGGCAGGAAATCTTTCCTTTGAAAGGCTGAATAGTATTCCATTGTATGTATATACCACATTTTCATTATCCTTTCACTTCCTAATGGACAGGTTAGTGGCACCTCTTGGCTATTGCGAATAATGCTTCAAGGAACAAGAGAGTTCAGCTATCTCTTCAAGATCCTTTCTCAGTTCTGGGTAAATGCTCAGAAGTAGTATTCCTGCCTCATATGAAAGTTCATTCCTATAGTGGATAGAACACTTTACCTTCCTACCAACATTGTACAAAAGCTCCAACTTCTCCACATCCTCCCCAGTGCTTGTTCTTTGTCCTTTTTGATAATGGTCACTCCACAGGTGTGAGGCCATATCTCCTAATGATTCTTACCTTTGTTTTAAATGTATCATAATCTTGCCATTCAAGTGCTTTTTCCCACCAAGGAGACATTCAGATTGGCAAAGGATGACAGTTTGTGCTTTAGTGTTCTTCAAAGGCAAAATGGAACTCCCCAGAGTTCTTTAGGTTAAAAACAGTGTGTTGGATGGATAAGTCCCAATGTGTGCAGCAGGGGCAGAGCTCAGTGCTAGAAATACCAGCATGGCCCCCATAGCTCCTCCATCTGTGCATCTGGGAGGCCAGGCTTGAAGCAAAGAATGCGGCCACAGCCCAGGAGGGTGAGGAGCAGAGGGGTGAGCACAAGGCCCATATGCTGGAGCAGCTGGCTTGCAGGGCATAGGAACCAGGGCAGTGGCATCAGACAAGAATAGGGTTGGAAGGAGAAAACCCCGGGCCGAGTCTGAGGCCCAGGTCTACAGCTTTGCCCATGTGGTACAGGAGGAATGGGAGATGGGGATCCATATCTGTCTTGCCAGCCTCCCTGGTTAGGCCCTCTCTGGTGCTACTTCTTGTAGTCATATCTCCTTGGGGTAAGCATGTTGCTAGGAAGAGAGTGAAGCCCCATATGTGGTTCTCCTGCACCCTAAATCTCAGCCTCAGCATGGTCCTAGAGCTCCCAGCTCCACCAGCTAAGGCTGCTCTGGGCCTCTGACTGGGATCCTCAGGCAGAGCTCCACTTCTCCTCTCCTTAGTCACTGCCCTTGCCCTCTGCTCCTCCAGCTTCTAGGAGGATCCTGAGTGACCTTGAAGCTGTGGCCCTGCCTCCTTCTGCGAACCTGGTCACATCTGCTCCATCCCTCACCCCGTCACCCTGTGAAAGGCACACCTGCCACCTCCACCTTCCATCCTCTGGGCCCGCCCCAGTCCCCAGCCCAGCCTTTTCCTCCCAGAGGGAGCCCCTTCTCTTTGCAAGACACTGGGTGCATCCAGCTGCCCCAACTTATCCTGTCACCTTCCTGCCTGCCACTATCCCCAGAGGCCTGAGTGTCCAGCTCCTTCTGCTGTCCTTGGATTCTGGAAGCCATGTGTGTCCCTTAAATTTCTTTCTATTTTTTTCTTTTTAAAAACTTCTCTGAGTAGGAAAGAGACCGAGTCTCCCTCCTGTAGCACTGTGAGGTTCAGGAGCATCCTGTTACTATTCCCATTGTTTGTGGGGCCATCTGCATGGACCAATCATACACCAGGGTAGTGATGCATTTACAATGTGATGTTGCTTCATTAAGGGAATTGGGTTAACAGAGAAAAGCTGGGCTTGCAAAGATGAAAAGGAAGTAGGCCCCCATCCCCCTTGCCCCATTGAGTCTGGGTGCAGCCTGTCCCCCAGGAAGACAGGGTGTAGACGCTCCACTCAAGTGTGCTTATCATCTAGCTAGCCCAGCATGCGATTCAGGTGCCTTTGGCAATGGTGCTTACTGAGCCAGGACCTTCATCTTACAGATGCAGAAGGAGGCTAGAGAGTAAGCAGCTGGCTAAGACATACAGCAATTTCAGGTTCTAAATTCAAAACCAGGTCTGTTTTTTACTCAAGGAACAACAGGAGGCCACAGGAAGGGAAAACCTCTGTTTTCTGGATCTCTTGTTCCATCTCTGAGAGGAAAGGTGAGTGCTAGCCAAGTCCACAGACCTCCCCCTTCCACCCTGGCCAGCTGCCTCCTACTGTGGCCCTTTTGAACCTGTTGAAAGCTATGAGTGCCCTATAAGCCATCTCATTTGCTGCCTGTAAAGCAGACTTGGCAGGTGCCTGACTGTCCCCAACCCTCTCCTGCCTGAGACTCATTCCCCGAATTAAAGATGACTTCTACATTTTCCATTTTAAAATGCTCTATAGTTCCTGACAATGGTTCTGTACATAGAGGTGTCTATAGAAATTTTTGAGATCTCACAAAAATAGCCAAGATGAAAATAGGAGCTATTTCTTTAATTCTTCTTATACAGTTTTAAAGAAATGTTTTAATATTCCATTCAATTCTTTCTTCCCTTTTTTTCCCCTCTTTGTCTCTTGGTGGTTCTGAAAAATAAGTGCAGCCATAAATATGCAAAATGTGGAAAGCTGACTTTTCCTATATCTAATAAAAACCTTGGGGAGTAATTGAAATAACTTGGCGTGGGTAGTCAGGTTCCGTGCTGCATAATATCAAAAGAAAATCCATAGCAAGGAGAAGCAGCAGAAAAGAAGAAGAGGGGCTGGACAGTAAAACCAGAACATTAAATAATGAGCAGCCAAGAGAATCTAAAAAAAAAACCCTTTTAGAATTACATTCTTAGAAAAGTAGTCAAGAGGCATCTTCAAAGAAGTAACACTAGACAAGGCGTACATTTTATGCACGTCTGCGGATTGAAAATTCAAAGAAAAGGAAGGAAATACCCTCCTTCCCGCATCTATTCTTTAGACAGAGTCTGACAGAAGCCATGGGCGCCCATCAAATCTTGACACACGTGTCCTTTCGTGAGGGACCCTCCTCCCCTCTCCCTCTTCTCTTTTGATCTTCACAACCCAAGTTTTAAAGAAAGGTTGTCAAGGCAGTAGATCACACAAGGAGAACCGGCTACTATCAATTGTCTGGGGGACCCTTTGGAGTCTCTTCCTCTGGCTTTGTATTTTACAAATTATCGCCGCATTCATTATGAGTAGGACAGTGGCATCCACATATCTGTGTCCTGGGAAAGAGAGAGATGCTGGCACTGAAGTCACATGGGGTGAGAACAACTTACACACTGGATTTCTGGAAGAATCTTGTTGCTCATTATCCTGCCTTTACCTGCGGATACCTTTACCTATGTAGGCGTTACTAATTCTGGACTCAGTTACTTTCTAGGGTTTATAAAAGGCTACTTATATGTAAAAATAAAACCTTTTGGAAACTGAAAAATAGGGAAAAAATCACCCATAACCCACCAAACATTAAAAATTTGGTATATTTTCTAGCAATCTTTTTACTTAAGAACAGCTGGGTTTTTTTCTTTTCCTCTGTGGTTCAAATTGAACCATAGTTTCCAATTTTATGCCTTGATTTTTTTTGGAAATGTTTTCTCTTTCTAAATAAAAAATAGAAAGACTATTAGCCATCATTTTCAAGAGCTGCATAATATTCCACATAAATGAGGTTTCATTCTTTTTTTGTGGTTTGAATTGGAAAACAGCAATTGATAGTGTTGAGGGCTATTTATCTATCTCACTGAAGGAAAAGATTCAGCAAGGATCTGGATCTGTTATTTGGATCGGAACTATTAGTTGTGCCTATGTGCATACAGGTAAGTTTGAACATTTTTTTAATGCTCATCTTGCCTCATGGACCACGAACCTATTCTCTTTGCTAGTGTCTGAATGGAGTTAGAAATCAGGGTAGGAGTTCCAGCTCTGTAAATGAATCCTGGAACCAGGTTCTTGGGCTGTCTATGTCTCCATTTCCTCAGCTTCAACAGTGTGGATAATTCCTCCCTTCTGAGAAATATATTTTAACACATTTGGTAATTGGGTTGGATGCTGCCATCAGTGTGTACACTATAATTTTCCTTCCTTTCTCCTCCCTCCACACTTACCGGAGCTATTACAATCAGCAGAATCTTACTACTGAAGAAATATAATAATATTTGCCTGACAGCATTTGTTGCAGCAAGGTTTAACTGAAATGGACATGAAGTGTTCTTAGTGCTTGGTAGGAGCTCAATAAATGCAAGTACTATTTATTGGTTAAAAATCTATGTTATTCTTAGAATCCTAGAACATTAAGTCTGTGTAAAATATTTATTTTCAGAAAGGCACTCTTTGTAGGTAACTTATTCAGTTAAAACTCATGCTGCTTAGAAAATTCCTTCACCTCTTTAGTTAATTAGAGAGGGCACAGGGATGATAAATAGGTCTAATGCCATGTGCCAAGGCTAATCGGCCACTGATGATTCTCAGACATGCTGCGGTGTGGGAATTGCCAAGGCAGACTGGGTGTAGCAGGCAGGGCTGCCAAGGCTGATTACTAATATGTTCCCCAGGCTTGGGAAGATGGAGTGGCAACACACACTGTGTTTGCCATCTCTGTGTGATGGTGTCACAAAACATTACTTGGAAATTCACTAGGCATCAGCCAGGGTGTAGTTTATCAAACAGGAACTTCATCAAAATCCTGGGCCAATAGACCACCTGCAGGTCCAAGGTGGGAGGCTGAAACCCACACAGATAAAACTTAAGATTCCAACCTCAGCGGAGACTTTGTAGCACTGGGGTGGTAGGGCTTCTGCAATGACCTTGATTTTGGCTCAGCCCTTGTTCAGCTAATCCTCACTGAGGTCCGGACTCCTGAGCCCCAAACATCTGTACCATGGCCTTTCTAGATGCTGCTATTGGGTGACAGAGCTGCAGTGTGGGTCTTCCCTTTGCCTGCGTCTGGTGCTATGGGTGCACAGCCTAAGCTCAGAGCACTTGTACCCCAAATGTTGTTGGAAGGGAGACTGTTCATTTGCCTCTGGTCTTTGTTATCTCACTTTTTAAAAAGTTAGTACTTAACCGTCTGTTACCAGACAGGATCAACCATCACAGGCATTTTGATGAAGGCTTAGGTGGAAAGCTACCTACCATTTCTTGAAATGTTCTGGTAATCCCTGTGGTTACAGCGGTTTCTTTTCCGTAAACGAAGGTAAATAGATTTTTCTTCAATCCTGAAACAAATACATTTGTATCTATTTAATGTCAAGATATTTAGCGATGAAGCTCAAAGAAACATTTTTGGCATGATTTTGAAAAATACAATGAAAACGAATTCAGAAAATAATAACTTCACCGAAGTGGTTTCTCCAAACTGTGAGTGAATTATTGGGAGTTCTAAGCAGCAGTCCTATGAAATAGGTTACATTGATATGGTCACATATTGTTGAAGAAATCAACCTTTTTCTTTTGTAGGAAGACCCCTGTAGTTGCTTTCTAATCTTTTAACCAAGGAATGCTGTAAATTTCTTGAGCAATCATTTATCTTTAATAATGCTGTTGGTTAGAATCTAACTCTATTGCCTTCCTTCTTTTGGCTGCTCTGAAGCCATGGCACACACTCTTGTCCTCCTGTGTTGTTGTAGAGTTGTGAGCAGGACCTATGTCTGCTCAGAATGATGACTGGGTTTCCAGCTTCCCTTGCAGCTAGGAGCAACCTTGTCACTAAGTTCTGGATGATGAGATAGAATTAGAAACACACAGTGTCTATTTCTGGCAATGTTTCTCAGGAAACAATTCGATACTGATTCCTGCTCCTTTTTGTCCTTTTTCTCTCTGTTCCACTGCTCATAAGAGTAATGTTGCTATTTTGGACTGTGGAGAAAAGGCCCATGTTGAGAAAGCAGAGGGGTGAACTGCAGGAGCCTAGACCCACAGGCACTGTGCAGAGTCAAGCTCTTGTACCAGCCCCAGGCTGTTTTATCTCTGAAGTTTTTTTGTGTAAGAGAAATAAGCTCATGTATTTTCTTACTTAAACCACCCATATGTTGAGTCTCTCTTACTTCTAGATAATGAATTAATTAATGTTACTATTATTAATAGGCACAGAGCTTAGAGAGAAGTTTGATATGAGTATCATGCTGTAATTATACATATTTTAAGCGTTTTTTGGCTTCTCTTGATCCCATATTTGATTTTCTATTTTCTTTTGCCAAGCTTTTAATTTAATTTAAATGTAACTTAATGTGTTGTCTATACTTTTATAGACTTCTTAAAATTCTTTTTGAAACAAGACCAGATATAAACTAATGAATAATAAACTCATATATGTTCCATTACTTTTCAAGTGTATCTTCTCTTCAGTCTGATAAGTTCATATCTCAACCTTACACACAATCACCCTTTATTTTTAATTGTTATGCAAATCTTACTGTATTTCAGTACTTGGCATGTGCTCAAAAAAGGTAAGTATATATCACGTCTGGGTATTTGGAAATTGTTGAAAGTGTCTTTTTTGAAGTCTGAGAAAACTAATGATAACATTTCTTAACAGAAGCCCAACATGTTTGAGCAATATTTTAAGTATGTGTTTCTTTGGGCTATATATCAATATATATGTTTATATATCAAATCAAAGCTTCTTATGCACATAATTTAAAAGTCAAATAAATTAGCCAGACACGGTGGTGTAAGATTGTAAATCCAGCTCTTGGGGAGGCTGAGGCAGGAAGATCATAAATCTGAGCCCAGCATGGGCAACTTGGTGAGATCCTATCTCAAAAAAGTGTTATGGGTAGTAGCTCAGTGTGAAGGCCCTAAATTCAATCCCCACAACTGCAAAATGAAGGAACAAACAAATTAATTTACTGAAGAGATGTTTGTTGAGCACCTCCTATGTTCTACACTATTCATTTTAGGCACTCATGTTATGTGGAAAATGAATAAAATAAAGAATCCCACTTGTGTTGTTGACAACCAGTAGGAAAAGACAGATAAAAACACTAAATATCATAGGTAAAATAATATTAGAAGATGATAAAGTCTATGAAAGGAGAGGAGATTAGGAGGAGGGAAGGGAGATCAAGATTAGAGTAGATAAAGGAAGTCTCAATGAAGAGGTATATTTGGACAATTTCAGATGGTGAGTCTTATAAAATGAAATAGTTTATGTATATAAACAGCAGTATCAAACTTCCCTCTTTTCCTCATATCTCTATTCCTGGAGGCAACTAATATTAACTTTAATTGAGTGAATTTCTGTATTTTCTCCTTCTCTCTAAGTAACATACTTTTAAAGCTACTTCTTAATTATTAGTCTTTGACATTATCCTACTCTAGAAGAGGATTTAGCTATTCATAACTGATCTATAATTGCTGTTTCTTTATGATTTTTCAATTTTCCTGGAGTATTAGTTGCCTTTTGTTTCTTTGCCTAATTTTCCAAGTAATTATTGTCACTTTGCCCTCAAATCTTCTACTGTTGTATGATCTCTTCTCAATGAGCTCTCATGTATCAAATAGCATATATTAATGCTATCGTCTTTGTGAATATATGTCCTGGAGCCTCTTAACTTTGCCTCAGTTTGGATTTAACTATCCTTATCTTGGGGAAGCAGATCTTCTGGGAGCTCCCATCTCTGTGGTCTTGTGGACTCTTCACTTCTCCCTGTGTTGTTAAGATATCCTGCTTCCTGGAAGGTTACATTTTCCCTTTATTGTATGGAGACTACTTTTAAGTAACTTTGAGGGGTGGATGGAAAGTATCATTATCCTTTTCAACACCTGTATATCTGAAAATGCTTTTATTCTTTGACTTGATTGTCAGTAAGGTATAAGATGAGCCCAGAAACCTAAATTACACTGTAAATATAACCGTCAGTGGAGTTCATAATTGTTTGGGAAAAACATGAAGTGGAAAGGAAGTAGAGTCCACATAGTCACTGGACTCTCATTATCCTACTGGAAAATTTCTTAGAAAGGGCACAGGTGGGTTAGACATCTCTGGGGCAGGAGCTATGCTCATTGACACTCTACATATTATTGAAAAAAAGAGGTTGAAGTCTGGATGATGATGATAATAATAATAATAATAATAGACTTTTTTGGTACTGGGGATTGAACCCAAGGCCTTCATACTGAGCTACATCCCCAGCCCTTTTTCATTTTTTCTTTTGAGGTAGGGACTTGCTAAATTGTTCAGGCTGAGCTTGAACTTGCAATCCTCCTGGTTCAGCCTCCCAGAGTGCTAGGATTAAAGGCAAGTTCCACCATAGTGAGATGTAATAAATTTTTATATAAGCAATTGCTTTGTTAAAAGGAGGCGCCCCAAACATGATGGATCAGCTTCTTGCTAAGTTTCACAAAGGGTGAATAAAACTGTTATTCAGGACCATTAGAGTTTTCTTCTTTGACTGCTGTGGCAGATTGAAGACAGCCAGCCACACTATTCTTGACACCTCTACTCTTGAATCTGGGCTGACACATGACATTTTTTTGGACTAATAGGGTGTGGCAAAATGACATTATGCCAACTCCAGCTTTTAAAAGTCCTGGAAATTATTGGCTTGCAGTGCCCTGTACTATCATATAAAGCAGTATAACTATGCTGCTATAGACACTAAAGGAAGCAACCTTGGAAACAACCAAGATATCCTTCGGTAGCTAAATAAATGAACAAACTGGTGTGTCTATACAACGGGACATTTATTGATAAAAGGAAATGAGCTATAAGTCACAAAAAGACATAAGAAACTTTAAGTGCATATTAAGTGGAAGATGCCAACCCAAAGACTGCATAGTGTATGATTCCAACTAGAGACCCTCCTTGACTTACAGAGGGGAGACAGCCCAATAAGCCCACTTAGATTTACAGAAAAACTGGGCAGAAAATGGAAAATACAAAATATCTCTTGTATTAAATGTGGTACACTTGTTACAATGAAAAGCTTGTATTGATACGTTATTAAAGTCCATGGTTTATATTATGGTTCACTGTTTCTGTTGGACAGTCTGAGTTTTAACAAAGGCATATATCCACTGTTATAGTATCATACAGGCTATATTATCACTGCTTTAAAATCTACTCGGTTTTACCTATTTATCTTTCCTGTCCTCCACCCAGACATCTAATAACCCTAAAACTCTTTAAAAAATAAAGTCTAATGAAGAAAAATAAAAAGACCCTTCATGGGAAGGAAGAAAGACTCCCTGAACTTCACCTTCTAGTCACCCTTTCCAGGCCCCATCTTGGGAGGGAAGCTATCTTGGATCCTCCAGCCCATCCTGGCCATTACGTGAAGACCACTGAGTAACCAGGGTCAGTATCACATGGAGAGAAAGAATTGGCTATCCAAGCTCTGCCTGAATCTCTTGCCTTCAAAATTGTGAGATACAGTAAAAATGATGATTGTTTTAAGCCACTAAAGTTCAGAGTGCTTTGTTACACACTAGGTAAACAAACGGTTTGCTGTAGAATTCTAGGTTAAGTTGATTTTTCCCCAGAAGTTTGAAGGAACAAATCCACGAACTTCCAGCCCCCAGTGTTAAGTCTGAAGCCAGTCTTTGTCTTGACATTTTGGAAGCTTGTAGCAGTACTGTATCCCAAGTGCTCGAAAATGTTATGGCATCAGGGTTCGTGTGGGTCAGTTTTCACTCATGTTGGTAGACATTTGACAGATCCTTTCAACCTAGAAATTCATGTTACTGTATTTAGTTCTGAGAAACGTTCTTGAATTATTTTATTGATGAGATCCTCATTTCTTCTTTTTCTTCTGTTTTTTTTTCCCCTACAACTATTATGTGGGTATTGGATTATTGGACCTATCTTTTAATTTTTCCTAGTTTTTCTCTTATTTTTATCCCCTCATCTTTTTATTCTGTTTTTCTGGCTGATATTCTCAACTTTGGCTTTTCAACCTTCTATTTAAATAATTTACTATCACTGGTAAATAAAAGAAGTAATCTTTTTTGTTCTCTGAATAGTCCGTTAATTTTGTCACATACTCTTATTTTATGAATGTTGTGTCTTCTTTTATCTTTTTGAATATATTTAGTTATTTTATAGGGATATTAATAAGATCTTCCTTTTTAAAAGTTTTTCCCTTGGTGGATAATTTCTAAGTCATTTTTTTCTCTCTGTTTTTGTATGGTTCTCATCTGTGAGGCTTCCTGCAGATGTCTGATGATCTTGGGTTGTTGGTTTATGTTGAAACATAAGGGTGGGGGGATTTAGCTT